GTCCCAGCCACGGCCACCCTGTCCCCACGCAGAGCCCCCTGCCCACCCGGGACCACTGCAGCACCGTGCCGGCGGGTGACTCACGCAGCCCGTGACCTCGGCAAGGCGTATTTTTAGGCGCTCGTTAAAAAAGAAAGATAACGAGGAGTGGGACAGACACACGATGCAGAAAAGAACCGGGGAAGGAGCCAGTGACACGACGGTGACAGCCCGGGGGCGGGCATGGGGCTGGCAGCACCCCCACCCCAAAATACTCTGCCCCCCCTCCCCAGCCTCATTAAGCCCCCAGGAATAATTGCCTCCTTCAAGCCGGCTAATTGATTTTTGCGCGCTGATTAAATTGAAGCCTCTGCGGGAGCTGGGGAGGGGGGGGGCGATCGATGGCTGCCAAGTGTCCCCTTGGTCCCACCCCTCTTTTGCGCTGAGGGGCTGGGGTCTGTCCCCCGTGTGTCCCCTGGGCTGTGGAGACACTGCACAGGCGTGGCGCTGGAAGGGGATGCACCCCCAGGGCTTTTTTTTTGGGGGGGGCAACACAGACAGTGACCCCATGGCTGCCACCAGGCTTGATGCCACCTTGGCGTCGCTCGGGGCCACCAAACCGCTGTGGCGGGCGGCGCTGGGAGCAGCCCCTGGGCTGCTCTATGCCCGCGTCCCCCCGCTGTTCCCGCTGCCCATGTCCCCTCCGGCCCCGCGTCCTTCGCTCACCCCCGGCGCTGGCGGCGGCTGTCACTTGCCATCGCGTCCTGCTGTCCCCGCCGAGGCTGATGGAGATGGCGGGCGACGGAGCGGGCGCAGCTGCGCGGCCCCGTGTCACGAGCCTGCCGGTGCTCAGCCCCCCCGGGGATGGCTCTCGCGCGTGGCCATCACCCTCAGCGCAGCCCGGCCATTCCCACGGTGGCACCCATGGGTGCACCATTGTCACCACGGCCTTTGTCACTGGTGGCAGGACCCTGTCCCGTGACCCCGTGGCTGACCCCAGTGGGTGCTCTGGGATGGCTGGTGCTTGGCCACGTGGGTGTCGCCTGTGCTGTCCCAAAGCGTGGGTCCCCTGAGACCCTGGCCCCCGTGGGAGGGGAAGCTGAGGCAGCGAGGAGGAAAGGGTCCTGGGGACGCTCTGGGGACCCTCCCCGGTGGATTTGCCCCCGTGGGGACATAGGTGACGGCTGTCCCCAGCCCAAGGGTGGGCACCCGCTGC